TCAGCCAGTGAGCGGGAACCGGTCTGTATGTGGGATCCGAACCCTCGGCGGGAGCGCCGCCGCGCTCCCAAGCGGCGCACTGTAGCAGTGCGCCACCGGGCCGGCCCAAAATAAAGATTTTATAATACAAGAGGACTGGGACCTTTTCCTAAGAAGCATTTTGTACTCCCTATATGCCATCAAATGTGTACCATGTTTCTTACATCATAAAGATGAAATTTGATTTTTCTTTTATTACCCTGTATATCTTCTTATCTGTTTGTATAGATCTCTACCTAATTTCCCATATTATATATAGGACATCCAATCACAAAGCAGGCTCTCTTCTTCACACCTACAATGCAGAGATACCTTTAGGAGAAAAAATCAGTAATAACAGCAAACAAAGAGAAAGGTATGAAATCACACATCCTGAAAAGCAATGCTTCAGGAACATACAATGATCTTCACTCAGTTTTACAGTTATGCTGTTAAAGAACTAAAAGAATTTAAATGAAGTTTGGGTTCAAAAAAACCCCAAAACTTATGTTCTGTGGTTTACCTAGATATTGCAGCTTTTTCCATTATTTCCTGCTGAATGAGCCCAGATGGCTCAATGACATCCAATATAATTATGCTCCACAACTTGTCTGATTTTGGCCTTTGCAGCATGGCAGATTCATCCTCCACATGTCTCAGCCAAAATTCAAGTGTTTCTTTAGGAAAGTGATTGGCTTCAGATATGATGTCCAGAGTGGTACGATGCTGGTCTTTCTCCACAGAACTATAAGGTTTAACCTGCCCAAGTGTGCCAGCAATTATAGGCAGAATAGAGAAGCCTTCGGACACATCCAACACGTAGAAAGGTTCAGGGGAACTCTGAACAGTACTATTCTGTCCAGTTCCAGAACTCATGTCATTATTCGGACACTCAGTATCTATGGCCTGACACAGTTTCTCTGGGACCAATGAAGATAACACTTTACTCATTGCCATTTTAAAGCCTTCGTGATATGGAATGTTATTAAGCAAAGCAATTTCTGTGGATTCCAATACACACGTCTGCTCAACAGCATCTGGTTTACTGGTCTGAAGGTTAGCCAGGGCACTACAGAGTTCAGCCTCATTTTTTAAAGTCAATAAGTCTTTACTCTTGGTAAAACTTTTCGCAACATCCATTTCATGTTCCAAATCCAAGAAATTGATATTCTGGATTCTTAAGTAACAATCTTGACAAGACACTTCCATCATCACATGGTCTCCAGGCTTTATACAGTAGTCTTCATTAAATAGTAGGGAAGAAAAAATTATCGATTAATATAGGGTGCCTGTAAGCTTGAGGATCACACCAACATCTATATGTCCCCATTTAATCCCCCATTCTTTAAATCACTACAGGAAGGATTACATCTATTCATTTAATATAAGAAGAAGGAAAAAAAAAAAGGAAATTGCATCTTTACTTGGGAAAAAACTGGAGTTTGAAAATTCAGTTAACTCATAGCATGATGGAAAGATTAAAGAACTCCATTACTGAACCCTAAGACTATCAGTATTTTAGTTGTTTTTACTACAATCACTAGGTAACACCATGTCCCCCAAATTGGGGGGGGGGGGGGAGTAGGGGGCTACAGGGGACTCTCCATCATCTTTGGCAATGAAGCTAACAATAACAAAGACAGATGAAACTCAGGGATCAATATTAAACCTAACTTTAGCATAAAAGGACATCCTTTTCTCTAAGGGAAATTTCCAAAACAACAAGGCAGCATTTGACAGAATCATAGTAATAATTCTTAACTCCAAGTATTAACACACTCTTGCATGTTTAGGGATGTGAAAGTGTAAGGAAGGACTAAGTCCTACAACAAAGGCTGTATCATGCTCCTTTCCATAAGCTTTCACATGTGGTAAAACTTTAAAATGTAAATGTACAATCACAATCAGCCCTAGAACCAGTGAAAACATAGGTTGTTACTGTTATATTTAAACATTTAAAATGTTCTTTCCCTAAGAAGGATTAAAAAAAACAAACAAACCATCTTTCTAAGTAACTTTGAGAGTTAGAATAAGCACAAATAAAAATGTTACTTACTGAGTGCCAGTCACCGTGGTAGGCATTTTATACCCACTAGCTCTAATAATCCCTACAACAGTAGTGAAAGGTAGACAGTATCATCCCATTTCTATTTATAACAAAACAAGTCCTTTCAAAAATAACTGGCAAGGACAGCTAGGAAGGAATAAGTAGCAAAGCTAAGCTCTGAATCCAAATCTACCTGACTGACTCCCCAAAAGACCATACAAGCCACTCATTCCATGACTTAATGACCTTGTCAAAATAGATCCTGATTAAGAGACTAAACAGAAATAGAAACTACCTTCTAGTGTAAAAAAGGTAGTTTTTCTATATAATTCAACTATTACAAACTTATTGAAACCCACCAAACTGCTGTAAAAAAATATACAAAAAATATCTTTAATATAAAACTTCCCTAGGGAAGTTTGTGAATTCATGAATTCCCTAAAACTGCAAAACATTGTGCTTAAATGAGTGTGTACATTGTTATAACCTGGGGCTCCACAGACACTCTTTAGGTATAAGAATTCCTGCACTAGAAGCAATACTTTTCTAATACTTTACATAAAAAAAAATAATAATAATAGAGTGCATTTCTTTTATCTACTACTAACTAAAAAAAATCAGAGTTGAAGAAATGATTTAATGATAAGTATTTCTGAATTGTATGCAGCAGACTTGTGTTTTAGTCTCCCTTCTTAACTGCATATGCAACGGTAATCCAAAAAGTCTGTGGAAAAATAGAATTGAAAGATAATACGAGTCTTTCCATGAACTTTCTGAAGTACCCTCATATCAACTATTTAAAACTACTTTTGAAAATGAAAAATAAAATGCTGAAAAATTTAACCAACCTCCCTTGACTGAAAACTTCATATCCAAAGTAACTTTTTTTTGCCACTGACTTGAATGCTTTGAGGATTAAAGCAACAAGTTCTTTAAAAACAAACAAAAATTAGACAAGACCTACCTGCAAGGTCCTGTACAGGGTAGACGGCCTGTTCCCAACATGTTTCCTCACTAGGACTTGTGGATAAACTGTGTTCATCATCAAGCTGGAGCACAAACCAAACCACAATAGCATCTAGTATGCCTTCTTTAATAACAGGAATACCAATCTTACCAGGCTTTTTAGTTGCAAGACTTTTTAATTCCTGAAAAAAATGTAAAAGGAAAGACAGGATTTTATACATTTAATATATACATGCCTCAATATCATACCACTTTCCATCTCTGAAGTTCTCAATCCTGTCCAGCACCCTTAGGAAATCAAAATCTTGGTACATCTATAACCATCTAGGACACACTGAATAAGATGTTTTAACCTATTATATTAGAATATCATGCAGCTGTAAAAAAGGATGAGGCAGATACACACTACTTGTGTGGAAAGAAGCCCTTGATTCACTGTTGAATGAAAAAGGCAAGAGGCAAAGCAATAGAGTATGGTTTTATTTTTTTTAAAAAAGAGTATGTGTGTGGGTACGTGTCTGTAGAACAGAAAAGCAAGTCTGGAAAAAAGCACTTCAAATTAATGACCTGGAGAAAAAAGGGCCAAGATTTCAAAAGGAAGAAAATACTAGGATTTTTTTTTCCTTTCTATACTTCTTTGTTGCTTGAAAGTATTAAAAAGGCAGACATTAGTTTTGAAATTAAAACTTTATTAAGGTGTGCATGCGTCAAAGAAAAATTAAAATAAGAAAGTCTTAAAATAATGAAAGGATAGCTCTATGGTAATTAGCAGCTACAATCCTGTTATTTCTTACTGGAATGTTATATCAGATAAGGAATGCTCTTGAAGCTCAGAAAGGCAGTTCAGCCTCAATAATCAATGCCAAATTGATGATTTAGTTCCAGACCACCTCAAGAACAACCTAGAAGCAATTAACAGGGGTAAGCTGCTATTAAATTATTAAAATCTTAGGCTAAAACAACTTTCAAAAAGTCACCTATCCTCAACCAGGTTTTATCTAAAACACTTCTGTACTTGAACATTTAACCTTACTTAAAGACCTTCAGAGAAGGACTCTATGTAACCTTTCTTGATTTGGGGGCACTTTCTTTGTACAGAACATCCTCCCACCACCTACCAACACACACATATATACACTAGGGTGATCAACTTGTCATGCTTTTCCCAGAATTGTCCTGGTCTTAAAACTGAAAATCTTATGTTTTAGGAACCCCTCAGTCCTGGGCAAACCAGGACAGTTGGTCACCGTAATACACAAAAACCTAGAGATTTGGATTATTATTGTTCATTTCAAGGAATACTGTTAATTTGAAATGGCAGCATGACATAGAGAAAAATCAGAAAGACCTGGGTTTGAACTTCTGCCCCTGCATTCACATGCTGAATAATTTGGGGGAATTATTTAATGTGAGCAACAGTTCATCTGTATAGCACAAGGAAAATTATAATCCTGTTGCAGCATGTCATAAGAGCTCCCTAAGAACACATGTAAAAGCACATGGTACACTATATATTCCCAACAAATCCCAAAAAAGGATTTTTTTCTATATTTAAAACAAGAGATAATTTCAGGAGGAAATTCTAATTACCTTTTAACCGTTTTCTTTAGATATAGTAAATGGAATCTCATGGAAATTCACAAAATAAGAATGCCTTATGTATTAAGTAAACGATGCATGAAATTTGACACTCAAAAACAGTAACTGAACTTTTTTTTTTTCTTTTTTTACCTGAAGATTATTGAAATCTACTGTCATAATTTCAAAGCACTCAGTCAAAGCCAAATATCCTCCTGGAACTCGACTCATCTTTTCAGTTGTATAAGGTTCAACTGTTTCTTCAGTATCTGCAGAAGAATAAGCTGGACTCTGAAATTTCACATTTGTTGGAAAATGGACACCAGCAATGTCCTTAATACCCACTCTGTTGAGAGAGGGAACAAGAGGAGGAAGATGGGTGTTTTGTTTGTTTGTTTGTTTTTAGAATCAAGTAACACATCTAATATTGAGTCCAGAAAAAATAAATATAAAAATGGAATGAAACCTTATGGGCAAAGGTTTCTTAAACACAATTACATACACATACATACACAACCATTAACTATAAAAGAAAACAAATATAAATAGGTCTACATTAAAATTAAGAACTTCTGCTCGTAAAAAGACACTCTCTAAGAAAATAATAAGGCAAAGCCACTAAGAGGAAATATTTGCAATACATATATTCAACATAGGGCTCATATCAAAAATATATTAAAAATTCCTACAAATTAATAAAAGACAAACAAAAATGGGCAAAAGACTCAGACACTTCACAAAAGACTGTATTCAAATATCACCAAAGGAATGTAAAAGAATATACATAGTTGCTCTATTTCTAATAGCCAAAAAATAGATAGAACCTAAATGTCCATCTGTAGTAAAATGGACAAACGTATTATGGTATATTCATACAATGGAATATTATTCAGCAATGGGAATGAACAAACTACACACAACAACATGAATGTGTTGAACAAAAGAAGCCAGACCCCAAAAAAGTCATACTGTGTGATTCCGTTTGTATGAAATTCAAAACAGGCAACCGTAATCTATAGTGTTAGAAGTCAGGATAGCTGCCACTCTTGCGGGAGTGGGGTACTGGTAAGTGGAAGGGGTTAATTCCGAACAAAAGAAGCCAGACCCCAAAAAAGTCATACTGTGTGATTCCGTTTGTATGAAATTCAAAACAGGCAACCGTAATCTATAGTGTTACAAGTCAGGATAGCTGCCACTCTTGCGGGAGTGGGGTACTGGTAAGTGGAAGGGGTTAATTCCTGGGGTCTTTCTAAGGTGGTGATCATGTTCTGGTCCCTGATCTGAGCACCAGTTACACAAGTATATCAACTTCATGAAAATTCTTCAAATCATAAATTTATGGTTTCTACACTTGCTATAAAAATGTATGATTTCAAAAATTTATATTGAAGAAACCCTTCGTGAACATTTTGGCAACACCATTTTGTAAAAGGAAAATACTCCGATCTCATCTCATCTCACCTCAGAGGAACTTATTTTTTAGTCTATTTGCCTTTATAAGGTTTCAGAAGTTCAAATAGTCTACTTCTAGAAATTATTTCATTATAAGATGACCTATCAAATGGAACTACTGATTTTAATAACTCAATTAAAATTCACAAGTTATAGAAATACAAAAGATGTGACAAAAAACTTCCTTTTAATTTATTATGAAATGCACAAATAAGCTAATTGTCAAAAGTTCAAACAATATAGTAAAAAGTGAAAGTCCACCTTCACAGTACTCCTTGTTCCCATTTCTTCATTGTTAAAAAACTTGATGTGCATTCTTCCATACCTTTTTCTTTATACTTATGTGTGTAATACATACATATTGCTCAGACATATATTTAAAAAATTACACATATTTTTCTCTGCTCTTAACATTTTAATTTTGAAAATAACTTCAAATTTAAAGACAAGTTTTCAAGACAGTATAAAGAATTCCCACAACCTTATACCAGAGTCACCAATTTTTTAAAATATTTTGCCATATATGCTTTATCACTCCCTCTCTCTCTGTATATGAGGGGTCTTCAAAAAGTTCATGGAAAGATTCATATTATCTTTTAATTCTGAAGTACCCTCAGGTTTGTGGAAAAATAAAATTGAAAGATAATATGAATCTTTCCATAAACTTTCTGACGTACTCTCATGCTTTTTTTTCTTCTGTACCATTTGAGAGTAGGTTGCATTCATCATGTCCATTTATCCCTCAATAGATACTTCAGTATATCTTTACTACAAATTAAGATATTCTCTTAGGGCCGAGCTAAATGAAGAAGCCACAGACTGAGAAAAGATAACTGCAGTGTATACATCTGAAAAAGAGCTCATATCCAAAAATATACTTTTTAAAAATGCAAATCAATAAGAAAATAGCCACTTCACAAAAGATAATACCCAAATAGCTAATGAACATATAAGAAGTGTCTAACATTATTATTTATCAGGAAAACGTCAAAAAAAAAAAAAAAAAAACCACGAACCTGGGCTTGCAGGTTAGCTCAGTTGGTCGGAGCGCAGTCTTGTAACACTGAGATCAAGGGTTTAGATCTCTGAGCAGCCAGCCCCACCCCACCCCCCATAAAATGATAAAAATCACAAACCAAACCTATTGACATGAAGAGGGTCACAAAGAAAAAGCACAAATATTTACTGATATTTTTTAAACAAAATTAAACCTATTTGCACATACACTTATTTACACAAAGTTGATATTCAACAAGTACACTAATTCAACCCATCTGCTAATTAAGGCCACTGTGTTTAGTCAATATCTGTGCTCTACCAATCTCTAAACATTTTTACTATCATCCTATAACATGCAAAGAAAAGAATAAGGAAAAATACACAACAAAGATGAACAGTAGTTACTTAGTGGTAAGCGGTTTAGGATGATTTTCATTTTCTTCTTTTACTCATCAATATTTCCTAAAATATTTATTTGTTACTTTTACCTCTATTAGGTTATTGGGGGCAGGGGGCTTCTTAGGATAATCCTAAAATCTCATCCCACCTAACCACAAATCATTATAATATTAATGAAGTTATCAAGAAAAGGAAAATAGAAGAAATTAACTAAAACTAAAATTTATTTTCATATTGGAATTTTTTATTATAACTTTGCCAAAATGAGTCTGAACTTAATGTTTTTCTACATAAATCTATCACACAACTAAAGGATATGTAGTTGCATCAAAATTAATTTTTCATTAAAAAAAAGCTGTCTTTAATACTGGAGTTCTATTTTAACACAAAACAAAAAACAGAAAAAAAAAAGACCAGAGTAAACATCATAAATTTAAAGGTCAGAAAAGTATAAATCCTTACCTGAGTAAACATTCACTAAATAATCTTTGAAATATAGTGTCCTCCTTAAAATTACTATTTTTTAAGATTTACTATTTAAACAGTCACTTACCTATGATGTTTTCTTATCTCTGCACATTCTACTGCCATCCCAAATACAACAGCACTTGCTGGTATAACTTTCCCATACTTTTTACAATTACCATTTTCACCTTTGGTCTAAAAATATAACAATAAAAATTATATTATTATATGTACACAGAAATGTGTATATTATAAGCTATGAAAATTAATTTTAAAAGCAGGATAAGGATTTTTTTTTTTAAGTATTTTCATTGCTGTGTATATATATTTTCTAAAGGAAGGAAGGAAGGAAGGAAGGAAGGAAGGAAGGAAGGAAGGAAGGAAGGAAGGAAGGAAGGAAGGAAGGAAGGAAGGAAGGAAGGGAGAAGGGAGCTAATAAGTCTGCATAGAACAAAACAGATTTGGATATGACTTTCATTGAGAAACTGAAATCATCATTGCCTACTTGTAACATAAGTTGCTCTTTTCAATCATTAACTAGCTACTTTAAATTTAAATCAATTTCTGTAAGTAATGAATTTTTATTACAAGTTAAAATCTTTTCATTGGGCTGGTCAGTTAGCTCAGTTGGTTAGAGCATGGTGGTGATAAAACCAAGGTCCAGGGTTTGATCCCTGTACTGGCCAGCTGCCAAAAAACAGAACAAACAAATAAAAAACAAAAAAATAAATAAAATCTTTTCATTCATAATACACATTACATAAATCAAATCTGTGATTTGTGAGCTATAGTAGAAGATTTCAATGCAAAATATATTTAGGCTATTATAAGTTAGTTCCATCCCATCAGTAACCTGGGTTCAACAGGTACCTTAAAAACACACCAGCCAGTTATCACAACATTCCCTCTTGATAATATGCCAAAATTCCAAGCAGTGGAGGCTGTGAGACTGAAAGAAAATACCTCCCTTTCTCAACCCAACTCAAGAATATCATAGTCAGTCCCTCCACAAAGTAACACCAATTCCTGTGAATTCCTTCCAAGAGTACTTTTACCTGTGTACTTCATTTGGGCACATAAGTATACCTTATATTATGTTGTTACTAAAGGGTTTTTTTTGCATGGATTTCTTTCTAACTACACAGCATATATCTTGACAGCAGAAAATATATTTCATACTGCTTTGAAAATACACTAGGGGCTCAATAAATCTCTACTGAAATAATTAATTCTTAATCAAGTGTTTTGTGCTTCTTACCTTTGGCTGCAAAAGTAAATGCTCCCATGCATGAATCAAACTCTCCACAATTCCTTCTCCAAATAAACCTGCATCGACAGTTTCTGTTACAACTAGGGACACTCTATAGAATGATTTTTTAAAGATATATGTAAGTAAAATATCATGCTATTATATAAAGATGTCAAAGCTGAGAGGAGAAAGGAACAGCATATTATAGAAACAGTCCATTCATAAAAATTTTCTAACACATTTCATTTTTAATCTACCCCTGAATCTTAAGGAACTTGGCACTAATGTTCCTGGAGCTCCTCTGTTCTCCACTGGCTCCTTCTCCTTGGTTGGGGGTAGGAGGGGACAGGGAAAGGGGATGACAACCTTCACTTGGCCCTGTTGCCTCCTCAGGATATTCTTTCATTGCCTAAATCCTTAAGAGTAGTTTATACCAATTACCTTCACCAGTCCCCTTCCTTAATGCTGAGCAACTGAACATCTATCTCCAATGCCCTATAAAAATACTTTCTATCATCAATGATTCCCTACTTATCAAAATGAATATAGCTTTCCCTCTCAAAATCCAATCTCTCCCTTCTATGATACTGCATTACCCATGTTTGCCTCTTACACATTGATTGTGCCTCTCTTGTCACTGCTCTTAGTTTATTCATTACTTGTGAGTCTTCACAAAACCCTGGTGCACAGAGCTCTACTCTTCCACCCATTCTTTCTTTGTAAAAAATTTTACTCAAAGACACACCAAAATAATATCTCCCTTCTCTGAACTCCTTTAGCACTTATTGCCAGTGTCATTCATTTGTGTAGTTAGATAATAAAGAAAAGTTTCATGAATATTCTTTATCTTCCTTTCTAGATTGTAGGTGCCTTGAGGGCAGGAATGACTTTGGTATCCTCCCACAGTGCCTAACCCCAATATTATATATGGAAAATACTTAATATTTACAACTGCATACATTCATTTAGAATGTAGAACGTATCTCAGATCATCTAGTCCAACATCTTGAAGTCTAGAGATTTACTTAAGGTCAAAATGAATTAATAACAAGAGTCTGAATTGAAATCCTTTTCTCCTGATCCAAAGCCAGTAGATCTTTCTACAAGATTATCTGTGAGAAAAATGCAGATTAGCAGATTAAATTAAGGTAATTTTGATTCATGCTATGGACCAAATTGTATTCCCCCCAAAATTCACATGCTAAAGTCCTAACCCACAATGTGACTGTATTTGGAGATACAGATTTTAAGAGGCAATTAAGATTAAATTAGGTCACCAATCCAAAGACTGGTGTCCTTTAAGAGAGGAAGAGACGAGACACTGGAGATCATTTCTCTCCACACATACACACATACATTCACACACACACACACACACACACACACACACACACGGCCATGTGAAGATACAATGAGAAGGCAGCTATCTGCAAGCCAGGAAGAGAACTCTCCCAGAAACCAAACTTCCTGGCACCTTGATTATGAACTTCTAGCTTCCAGAACTATGAGAAAATAAGTATCTGTTGTTTAAGCCGCCCAATCTGTGGTATTTTGTTATGGCAGCTCAAGCAGACTAAGACAATTAAGGACATTTTTTTTACCCTACAAAACGGGTATAATATCTGCCTCAACAATCTAATAGGACTTCTTTCACAAGAACAAATTTAGAGACCTCTGAAAAGTATAAGTACCATGCAAACATAAATATTATTACATATACAGAAAAAGAATTTTTAAAATCATAGTTCAAGCAATGATAGAGTTAAAAAAAATTCCTCTTTCAATATAAACTGAATTTAAGTAAAATGAGAAGATAGACAACCCTGGAAAAGTAATCAAGCCAAGTGCTACATAAAAAACTGAATCTAGTTCTGGACCAGATAATTTTTAAATCCCTTCTTGCTCTAAAATTCCATCACCCTTGTGATATGGGTCACATTGAGATAACATACTAAAAAGCCAAGACTTAGGATTATATTCAAAGCATTTAAAGGGCACAGGACAAAATACACTGACAGCTGACACTTCCAAAGCTTTCATTTTAAACAAGGATATAATACGAAATGTCCTAAGTCCACTGAGTTTGATCAGCTCATGTTTTAAGTATAATTTTTAAATCATTATTGACCACACACAATGTATTACCCATTTTTCGCTCACCTAGCCTGGGAACCCTCACCAGCAACCCATATCCTACCCAACCCAAGTGGTACCTTCTTTGGGAAACCTTCGGTTAGGACTGCAATCCTCATGACTTCTTTTCTGAATCCTTGCTATTTATACATTCCAGCACACTAACAAGTACTCGACTATAAACTACAATTGTACTAAAGTATAGCAGAAGATCTTGTAGTCATTCTCAATTTAACCAACTAACTGGAACAACACTCACCTAGCCTGGGAACCCTCACCAGCAACCCATATCCTACCCAACCCAAGTGGTACCTTCTTTGGGAAACCTTCGGTTAGTACTGCAATCCTCATGACTTCTTTTCTGAATCCTTGCTATTTATACATTCCAGCACACTAACAAGTACTCGACTATAAACTACGATTGTACTAAAGTATAGCAGAAGATCTTGTAGTCATTCTCAATTTAACCAACTAACTGGAACAACAGTTCTTTCTGAAAACCATTCACTCTGTAAAACATTCTAATGCCTATGGCTACTAGGCTCCTTTCCAGAATGCCTGCATACCTATTCTCTCAGCGATTGAGCTGAATGGTCATCAAGAGTCAATTGTAGGCTGACCAGTTGTACTTATTATCATAATTTCATATTTTATTATCATAATTTCATGTTCTCTCAGCAACTGAGCTGAATGGTCAAGAGTCAGTTGTAGACAGATCAGTTTATTCCAGTTGTACTTATTATCATAATTTCATATTTTATTATCATAATTTCATGTTCTCTCAGCAACTGAGCTGAATGGTCAAGAGTCAGTTGTAGACAGATCAGTTTATTCCAGTTGTACTTATTATCATAATTTCATATTTTATTATCATAATTTCATGTTCTCTCAGCAACTGAGCTGAATGGTCAAGAGTCAGTTGTAGACAGATCAGTTTATTCCAGTTGTACTTATTATCATAATTTCATATTTTATTATCATAATTTCATGTTCTCTCAGCAACTGAGCTGAATGGTCAAGAGTCAGTTGTAGACAGATCAGTTTATTCCAGTTGTACTTATTATCATAATTTCATATTTTAATAAAATATTACAGAAGATAAATAAATATGACTGCAAGAAGAGAACCCTTATGTCTAAGGACACTAAGCTAAATGCTCTGGAAAAAAATCAAAGCCAAGTCACCCAGATAATTGCTACTGAATTACAAAAAAAAAAATAATAATAATAATGAGTTTAATTGGGAATATAACAATGCAATGGTAATGTGCATGCCACATGTGTGTATTCAGGGAGGTAAAGGAAGACAGAGGGTTTTAAAAACTATGTGCATGCATATTCAAGGAAGTAAAAGGCAAAGAGTTTTAAAGAAAAAAATGATGGAGGATTATATAATCATTTTGGAATAACTATCCTTGGCTACAGAAATCAATAACAGGGTGGTGTCAATCCAAGGCTAGACAGACAGTTGCTGGGAAGATGTCCTCATAGAAGTATTTTTTGTGTAAGGTTACAATGGTCTTCATGCAAGGTTGTGGTTTTGCAGAGTCCCTTGTGATAATTTTTGTTATCAGGCATTTGTGCATGAGAACCCTCCCTTTGTGGCCCTCCCAGTCTTTATTTGTCAGGGGTTTTTTTGTTTTTTTTTTAAAGCAAGCAATTCTGTTTTGATTCTGACAACTTTTTCAGGTTGTATTGCACATAGTTAGTATGCAGCTCACATGACATCAAATTTCAGCAGCACCCAAACTGGTCTACACTCCCTTCAACATGAGAGTTCTCTGACCATATCCTTGGATTTAGCGATCTCAATTTGCTGCATACATTTCTAAAATGCTTACTCTCAATTTTCTATACTTATCTGTCATTAACCAGTAATTTGTGGCCCAGCACCAGCATATGGACCACACATTGAACAGAACTGAGCTAGTAGAACTCTTTTCATTGATACTTCACAAGCACCATTAAGCATTCTATCAATTTTAAAGAAACTTAATCAGACTATTGATTCTGGGTATGACTTAAGCAAAAAAAAAAAAAACCACATTCTGGAACTCCAAACAGAAGACCATACTCTAACAAAAAGCCAAAAAGCAATGGCCCTATATCAAATAAGTACTCATGTTTTAGGTTAAAATTAAAAATGTTAAAGTTAGTGTACATTACTTTTAAGTTATCTTGAAGGTAAAGCCATCCTGTTCTTATTTTGCAACTGCCATAGCATACAGTACAGTACGAATATACCGTATACAATCATTATTTGTTGAGAGACTAACTTAGCAATGGTTTCAAAAAATTTTCCAAATATCAATGATCAATCTGTTGAGTCAAAGCTAAATATATGCCAATGCTCCTAATAATTTCCTGGGTTTGTGCTTCCCTTAGGTTTGATACTTAATATACTATCAATTTTTTAAAACTGGAATAGTAATCCAAAAGGAATAAATCACAGCCATCTCTACGATGATATGCTCAGTCCCATGAGCCCTCCTAGCAAACCACCAAACCTAGAAATGGTCTTGGAGACCCCAATGTAGCCAGTCATCGACTTAAAGCCAAATTCATCCTTTTTTGCCTGTTCTGTGGAAGATGTATCTGGCCCTTTAATATTTTTCCGCCAGTTGGTGCAAGGGTGAGTTCTGTCAGTAAAAAGTGCTGGAGAGACAATGCAGGAGAAAAGTCTTTCCACTTCCTAGTTCCAGTATGCTCAGGGCTTCTCCAGCACCAGGCTCCTGAAGTGCATGGTAGCCAGCAGAATCCAGTGGTCAACAGCTTTCCCCAGGACACCCCTTCTCCCTTTGGGTGGTTTTCTAATTGAGTGCCTCTAGTGAGGCACTTCTCCATGAGGCTTTCTCTGGCACCACGGAAGGCAAAAAAAATTCCAGTAAATCCCAGAGAACAGATTTACAAGTTTCCTGGCAAGGCACCACAGTGACTTCTCTGCCATTCTGTAAACTACATCTGTGCTCTCTCCAAAAAGGTCTGAATCTCAGCCTCGTGGGGGGAACTCTTCCTTGGATAATCTACCTGAGCCCTTGGGGCAGTGTCTATTATGCAGTATATTATATAATATTAAAACTGCTAAGATACTACATCTTAAATCTGTTATTCCTACATTGAGTTCTCTTTACTTTATACTAGCCAATCCCACACTACCCCAATACCATTACAGTTAATAATTCTTTATATTAAACCTTCCCTGTTCAACTAAATCATACCCTTGATCCAGGCTGATACAGAATAATTCTTAACAGGTAATACTGAAATCACTACAAACCTGAAGAGATGCTCCCCCATACTATTGCAAATCACTTCATCATCAGGAAACAGTTCCAAGGCCTGTTCATAGCAACCAAGTAAGTCTTGTATTCGATTGAGAGCATCAAGCTCTTCAGCCCATCTGAAGAGTGTATACTGAAAAGTTTCCTTTATGAAGAAGAAAAAAATAGTGAATTAGTTAATAACATAAAGGATAAAAGAATATACACTAGTTGAAGATACCAGAGAATGGAACGTAACTATTACTGAATAATCACCTTAAATTTCATTTAGCTTTCGTAGGCACTGTTTGCTGAATAAACAAATGCACAAGTAAATGAATTTTACCACCTACATGACAATAATAAACAGAATCAGACAGTTTGACCTCTCTAAACTCCCTCCAATTCTTAGCTGCTACTTCACACTCTACTGGTTCTCCTCCTATCTCTTTTTTATGAACTCCTATGTTTTAGAGTTTGTCCTTGACCCTCTTCTTTTCTCATCCATCCCTAATGCATTAATTATCAACTATGTATTAATGGTTGCTACATCTACATTTCCAATCAAGACCCTCTCCTATAAACCTCAGACTCATATGGGCCCGCCCGGTGGCGCACTGCGCTGGTGCACCGCTTGGGAAGTTCAGCTGCGCTCCCGCCGAGGGTTCGGATCCCACATACAGACCGGCTCCCGCTCACTGGCTGAGCGAGGCGCGGGGGGCAGCACCAAGGGTTGCGATCCCATTGCCGGTCCAGGTCCGGTATGGGGGCGACACTGAGGGTTGCGATCCGTTGCCGGACACGGAAAAAAGACAAAAAGGGTTGCGATCCCATTGCCGGTCCAGGTCCGGTACGGGGGCGACACTGAGGGTTGCGATCCGTTGCCGGACACGGAAAAAAGACAAAAAAAAAAAACCTCAGACTCATAAATACAACTACCTTTTAGTTACCTCAACCAAGCCCTGGATCTCCAGCCATCTCAAATCTAGCTCAATTCAAATATTTCCTGAACAATTAGTGTGCAAAGAACTGGAGTTAACACACAATAATGAACAAGATAAATCTTGTTCTTATCCTCACAGAGGCCCTGTAGAGAGAAATTTAACAATTTTGAAAAAGTTCAAAATGTTCTAAGCTGAACCAATCATATTCCTGTCACACAGTATGCAAGATTAAGGTACCATTACTATAATTCCACATAAAATGTTTCAAACCCAGCCAATGCCCTCTCAATATCTTTAATCTGTCACTTCCTCTCCATCCCCATTGTTACAACCTAATCTGGCCCTTGCCAGTACAACCACTTGTTGTACTACAATAACCTTCTCACTGTCACCCTATCTCCAATTTCATCTCCATTCAGCCATTCTCCATACTACAACACTGTGGAAAGAGGGAAGTTTTAGTCATTCCAGCTTTATCATGAAAACATTTCAAATCATCTTCACAAATTTTATAAAGAATTGATACCTGAAATTGAATCTTGACTGAGTTTACTAAAGAGACACGGATAAGAAAGGAGAATCTAGGGTGTGAGGGTAAAACACAGATTACATGAAATAGATCAGGAGATCTACAGATAAGCAGTTTGGTGTGGCTGGAGTGTGAGTATGGGGAATAGGAGCAGTAGGAAATGAGACTCTTACAAAGTGCCAGTGCGAAGAAATACAGACTTTGTTCTGCAGGAAACAGAACTAGTTACTGAACCCTACTGAATGCCAGGCATTGCAATACAAATTTTAGATATACTTTTACTACACATTAAATATCTTTAAGAGAGGTATTGTCTCTGTTTAACAAAAGAGGAAACTAAGAAACGAGAAACAAAGAATTGAAAAAGAACACTTGTATTGATCCATTACTCTACTGCTGCCTTGGAAGCAAACTGTATCTCAGCATATCATCATCTCCTCCTAAAGCAAGCCAGCTGGTCCTCAAATTCACATTAAATTTATGTGAACTACAAAGGTCTAGATGCTATGGACAGATGGTGGGTAGAGGATAGGGATGCTCCTAAACACCCTACAGTGCACAGGACAGTTCCCCACAACAAAAACTTGTCCCATCCAAAATGTCAACAGTGTTGAGGTTGAGAAACCCTAGCTTAAATAAACCAACGTAGCTTGAGGCTAAAAACTGAATATAAAATTAAGCTAAATCATTTTTCGAAATTTAGATTCTAAAATTACTTGGGGAAAAAACCCCACAACATTTCAATAGAATAACTTCTACAAATAATTGAAACTTTAAAATGCATCATCAAATGATGATTATTTTAAGCCATGCAAACTTTATTCAACTAGAGACCCAGAACATTCTACACAAAGTCGGGACAAATGCAAAGGCCCTTAGACAGGAGCATGCTAAAAATTAGATATAGGGGACGAGAGATGACCAGCCGAGGCCTGACTTTGCAATTTGAGGGCCTTTGGGATGTTAAGTGAGTTGGAAATTTTGAAACAGAGAAGATCATTTGACTTTTGTTATAAAAAGCTGGCTGTGTTGGGTTGGCCGGTTTGCTCAGTAGATTACAGCGCAACACTGCAGCACCAAGGTCACGGGTTCCGATCCCCGTATAGGCCAGAAGCCAAAAAAATTTTTTTTAAAGCTAGGTGTGTTGAGAAGCCTATTGCAACAGTAGGCAGGAGATGAGAGGGCTGAACCAGGGCAGTAAAGAAGGCGGTGAGAAGTGGTAAGATTCTGGACATACGCGTATTTTGAAGGTGCAGCTGACAGGATTGCTTGGCAGGTCGTGGGTGTGAATAAAAGAAAGGAGTCGAGGATGAACAGTAAATATTAATAGCAACCACCAGCCACACATCCTAGCCTCTTCCTCCATTTATTTTTTATTTTTTATTTTTTACGAGAACGGAGGTCCTGCCAGCAAGCGAAAGGAAGAAGGACCCTCACCTTCACGTCGTCTTTCAGCTCCGGCGCCAGGCTGAGCACGAGGAGGTAATGAGCATAGGCAGTGCCGAAGTCCTGAGCTCCCAGACAGTGCTCTGCGCTCTGCAAGGACCGTGACACCAGCTCGTCCCGGCCGGCTGCTCCGGCGCCATCCCCGGCGCCCCGGTGGGGCCTGGGCCGCGAGTTCGGCATGACAGAGTCCCCGCTCGTATGACCAAAGGGCAGATGCTTTTGTAGACAGAACAACACTGTCTCGATGCTACACTTCCATGCGACTGACAAGAACACCGGTACAAGAAAGGTATTCTTCGACTACGGGTGAGCGCACCCGCTTCGGCCGAGGCGGAAGTACCCCCCCCGCCCAGACGCAGAGCGCACAACACGACGCACACTCCGCAACTGCAGACAACTGCCGGCGGCGCACGCTACGCGAACGTCAGCGCGCCCGACGTGCGTACGCCACCGCCCCGCCCCCTCAGACGGGCGGCAAGGAGCGCCTACTGCGCGTGCGCTGAGGGGGATCCTTATAACAAGACCTTTCCACTCTGTCGCTCTTCTTTCTCCCGGCTGCGAGGAGAGCTTGCTGTATGTCTTCTGTTGCCTCCAGGAGTGTGTGGCTTCTACTGCTGGGTCCTTATAACAAGACCTTTCTACTCTGTCGCTCTTCTTTCTCCTGGCTGCGAGGAGAGCTTGCTGTATGTCTTCTGTTGCCTCCAGGAGTGTGTGGCTTCTACTGCCAAGACCCTACTATGCAAATCCAGTCAACGCAAAGCTGCACCCGTTCGTGAGGATCAGTCAGGCATTTGTGGTGATGCTTAATGCGTTTTGGATAGTGATGCACCAAATGTCAAAATGGCAAGATTGAAAGAACCCAGAGATAACTAAAGCTCCTTAGATGTGGTAGAGGAAATGGTTTCACAGGCATTATTTTAAATCATTCTCACAAAATCTTGTGAGGTGGATCTTTGGAACACGCTCTTCTTCTAAAAGATGGAAAAGGTGACATCCTTAGAAATGACTTGCTCAAGGTTACACAACCAGTTAGTGGCATAGACGTGGCTCAAGTCTAAGTTCCCTGACCATCTGTTCAATTGTTTTAAGACAAGCTTAGAGATTATTTCACTATTCGGTATATTACCACCATACAGTAGTTATATTAATACATAAAAAAAAGTTTTTCTACATTCATGTGTGGCCCTAAGGTATAGATTTTAACCTTAAAAGGGGTGCATAGGAATTCCAACTGAAAGAAGTCATTTTTGCCCCCATTTTCAAATATGTTAATGGTGAATATCTTACTTAACAAAAAACAAAAAACAGCATTTTGCACATCAAGCTAACAAGGCTTTGGGGGCTCCTCCAATTCTTAAAAATCCAACATTTTCATGCCTTTGTGCCTTCCCTTGTGGTCTAGTTATCTGAACCACACTTCCTTTTGAGCACTTACGTATCTAAATCTTAATCGGTTCTTCAGGATCCAGTTCATTAGATGGTGACCTGCTCCCCAATCAGAAAGTTTCTCAAAGGCAGGAACTGTTCTTAACCATTGTTGTAACCTTTGCATCTAGCCCAGTATGGCACAAAATAAGGATATAAGATGTTTTTTAAGTTTAATGGAAAGTACTGTGCATCCCCCACTCCCAGGTTTTGCATGTAGCCTTTTCCAACTATTCATGTCCTTATTTCTCTCCCATCCTTAGTTGCTACTTTCTTTACTAAACAATTTAGAACTTATTTATATGGTATTTTCCTACCAGGACTGAAATGCCTAAGGATAAGGCTTCTCTATTCCCAGTAGGATGCAGTAAAACATAGAAAGGCCATTGGACTTTTTAAAAAAGTGTGTATTTTAGTCCAAGCTTGATTCTTTCTAGCCCATCCGGTAACTCTTCCTTAAGATTCATTATTTGTTAAAAGGCCTAATAAAGATTCCTTTCCTACTTTAGTCACAAGATTGCTATAACCATCGAATGAGACTATGTATAAAAACATTTTATATATAAGATATACATATATAGTTGATGCTATTCATTGTTACTATTATCTAGAATCATTAAAAAATTATCTGGATCATTAAAATAAAAATTTTGTTAACACCTGTAAGCATTTGATCAGAAGTGTATGCAACCCATATCCTTTCAGAGTCTAATGTAATTGGCTGAAACCTCTTTCCAGAAAGCATGGAGAGACTTCCCAGTCTTTCTCTCCAGAGATTTGGATTGAAGTAGAATCATTTAGGCTTCATCATTCTAGCGCCTCTGTGATTCCCTGCTTTGGCTGAATTACTTCACTTTACAAATTATATTGTATTTTAGGCATGCTTTCCACTTCCAAAATGGCAGGATTTGTTTTGTTTTACTTTGTTTTTCAGTCTGTTTGGTTTATTGAGGTAACCCAAGTACCTAGAACTCCTACGCTGCATGAAGCTTGAAGTGAACATAATAGGTTAAGAGACTGAAGAGGGACTTGGCAGGAAGTGGAGAAAGGGCAGAGAAAAAATTAAAGAAGCCAAATTTGGTTAATTTGTTACTAAAACCCCAAAGGTCCGTTTGCTCGCTGCTCAATAGCCAATAATTGAGAGACAAGTGTTGGTGTAAGGGAACGTAGCCTTTAATCAGGAAGCTGGGGAAATGGAGGACTCATGTCTCAAAGACCATCTCCACTCTTCCCAGACTTGCCAAAGGGTTTTATAGGGACAGGTGATAGGAGGGCTGATTCATGGTGATCTAAGCGGGGACATGCATGCATCAGATAAACATCAAAGAACTTCTCAGGTGGGAGCTGATTGTTGGGAATATAGAATGGTTTGGTCAGGACCCTGGTCTGGTTGGGTGTGGTTCATCACATCCTTTGTAAGCAAATTGTGTGTGTGTAGCTAGTGCACATGTACACCAATGTATCTTTTTAGTTTTGTTGCTATTCTTGAGTTTTTCAAAGAGTAGTTTTAGTGAAGCAAGTGGGCAGGCATCTGCCTTGGGAGTCTGCCATGCCCGGCCATGCTTTCCAACCTATGGCTTCCAAGGACGTGTTTGCTGGTTACCTAGCTCATAGACCTGCATGTAAGGGGTCTGGTAACCAAGCTGGCATGTGAGGGGTCTGAGGACCCAGCCTGGCATGTGAAGGGTTTGTGACCCAGTCTGTGAACGGGCTTGAAGGGTCTGTGAGCTCCAGAACCAGCCCTAGCTCGACAAGTGGCCCAGTTGGTGCAGGATTACTGGCAGGTAAAAGAGCCCGACAACTGGTGTGGTCATGTAGCTTTACAATTGGTGTCATGAACAGGAGTAAGAGCTCTACAACTGGCGATGTTGACAGGATTCTGACATTAGCAGTAGCTTGACAATTGGCTACGTTGGCAGGATTCCAACATTTGCTGTAGCTCCATAGCTCTTCCCAGACTTGCCAAAGGGTTTTATAGGGACAGGTGGTAGGAGGGGTGATTGATGGTGATCTAAGCAGGGACATGCAGGCATCAGATAAATATCAAAGAACTTCTCAGGTGGGAGCTGATTCATGGTGACCATCCTCAATGAAGTAAAGTCACAGATTCAGTTCCTGTTAACCTAAAAAAGATCTAGTTAGTAAGCTAGTAAAGAATGGCCGCCTGGGTTAATAATTTTCTCTTTTTTTTTTTTCCTTTTTGTCTTTTTTCGTGACCAGCAACGGATCGCAACCCTCAGTGTCGCGCCCGTACCGGACCGGGACCGGCCAAGGGATCGCAACCCTCGGTGTTGCTCCCGCCCCTCGCTCAGCCAGTGAGCGGCCGGTCTGTATGTGGGATCCGAACCCTTGGCGGGAGTGCCACCGCGCTTTCCAAGCGGCGCACTATAGCAGTGCACCACCGGGCTGGCCCCAATAATTTTTTCTATAATTACTCTACGTACAGTGTGAGCAAAAGTCATTATGATCTAGCAATCATGTTCCAAGCGGCGCACTATAGCAGTGCACCACCGGGCTGGCCCCAATCATTTTTTCTATAATTACTCTACGTACAGTGTGAGCAAAAGTCATTATGATCTAGCAATCATGTGAAAAAAGATCATTGTATTCTAATGTCCAGCTGCAAGCTATGCGGTTCAGGTTACAAGAGTAAGAAAAAAAAAAAAACTTTTTAATTTAGAATTTCAACAAAATGGAGTTACTTCTGTTCAGCCTGTTACAAGATCATATTTTCCATACAAGTATCCCATAATATTCTCTGTAATCCATAATTCATCTTAATTATTGCATTATATTGGCATGTAAGGTATCCACCATGTGCAATAATGTTTCTAGTGGGAAAACAAACTAGGAATTCCATTCGGAATGCCAAGGACTCATGTTACCCTGCTGTCAAGGGATGCAGACCTGCCCTAGCTACTGGAGTGGGTCAGAGCCTTGAGGTCAGGGATCCAGCTGGGGTTGGGTCTGAGGAGGAATGCAGAAGTGGAGGGGCCAGACCTGCAGTTACAGGGGTGGAGACCCTGAGGTGTGGTCCAGGTGTTTTTATTAGTGTGGTCCTCTGCAGAAGGATTATGTTGGGATTGTCCCATCTTAATTTTTCCCCCCAGCTCCAGGATTTGGCTTGCCAACCTCCCTTTTCGTAGATGCTACTCATCACTTGTGAGCAGGGACTCTTTCCTTCTTGCCCCACCAAGGGCCCCAACAAGTTTCATATTTCCTTAATTCTGCTGCTGCAAAGTCAGGTCTGAACCTTTCTGTAGCTTAGTACAGATAAAATGTGGATCCACACTAATGGTGAGTTTCTGGCACACTGAAGACTGAGGCATCATCATTCAACTACTTTTCAGAAAGAAACTGAAATGGGGTCACCCTGCGCATTTTATTATGGGAGTGGAGGCAGGGCTGAGATCGAGGCTTGGTTAAGGAGGGTCTGATGTCATGAGTGTCTGTGGGATGCTCATCTTAGGGGCTGCCAGGTGGAAGAAGAAGGAAGCAGCAATGGGATTTATTACCCTTCCTCCCTCTCCAACTTCCTCTTTCCTCTGGACAAAAATTAGGATGGGGCTTGGTCCATTAGACTATCTGTGGTTCCTTAGCTATAATTAACATGTAAAGGACATAGACAAGCATTCAGCAGAGTATCCTGCACAAACTAGCAACACGATGGTGTTTGTTGAGAGAGAGAGAGAGAGAGTGTGTGTGTGTGTGTGTGTGTGTAGGTCAATTATACCTAGTTGTGTTGACAATTGAAATTAAAGGCTACAAATTGCAAAC